TTTTTTTTTTTTTTTTTTTTTGACTTTGGTAATAAATAATAATGATCCTCGGGTGGTCTAAGTATGAGTCCACATTTGGACCAACCATCGCACGCCCTTTTTATCCATCATCTCTCTCACGTGACCGTATATATACGTGTCTGTGTGTGTATATATATATATGCATATTTGTATTATAATGACCATCGCCAAATCCTGAAAATTTTTAATTCAGATCTGTATTACTGTCTCGGTTAGATTCATGATCCGTATATAGTTCAGTGAGCATTCATTTTGAATAAAATTTTGTTGGAAAATTATCTAAATAAACTTTCAATAAATCTTGAAAATCTCAAATTGCACCTTAAATTTCAGAAAAAAAATATACTTAAATATTAAACTATCAATGAATCTCAAAAAACTTCAATTTTCCAACAAAACATTTATTTTTTAAAAATATTTTATTAATTAAAATATTTTTCTCCAATCATATATCGGTTATATTTTCATTTCCATTGCTCGGTAATAAAATAAGAATAAAAAAATTAATAATTTAAGGGGGGGAAAGGGTAGACTTTCTTTCCTCCTCGGGATTCCAACGCTCGTTCTCTCGGACTCGATCACGGGTTTCTCCGATCGGAGCCATGGAAATCGACGGCGTAGACAATATCTCCGGCGGCCTTCCGGTCATTTTGGTCACCAACGACGACGGCATCGACGCGCCTGGCCTCCGATCTCTGGTTCGCGTCCTCGTCTCCACCAATCTCTACACTGTCCGCGTCTGCGCTCCTGATTCGTACGTTTCCCTCTCTTGGTTCTTACAAACCCACCTGAAATTTCCTCCATTTCTAGCTCCGATCGTCCGGTAGATGTGCTTTGGTTGCGTTTCCGAGTGAGATTACCGCCGGTTATGGATGAAATTTTGTATCTTTTGATTTTACCTTGATCGTCGATTCTGTCATGTCACGCTCCGTATTCAATCTGCCAATCAACTTCCATTTGAGGATCCTGATTCTGGGTATTCTTCAGTTATGATCCATTGTATATACTTGTGTATAGGAATGAATATGTATGTAGTGTGTGTGTAGATGTTATGATGTAGAGTCACGTTCCTACGATTGCTGCTTTCAGGAAGTTCTTTTTTTTTTGGGGGGGTGAATATGAGATGACTTGTTGCAACATTTTCAGGGAGAAATCAGCTGTTAGTCACAGTATAACTTGGGCAAAACCAGTCTCTGCAAAACAAGTGGAAATTGATGGAGCAACAGCCTTTGCGGTTTCTGGTTTGTCTCTCTTGTTTATGAATGGGAAAATATATGAAGAAAGCTCTGAACTTTCTCATTATCTCCCTGGCTATGTTTGCTTATTGTGTGGCTACCGTCTTTGAATTGATCGTTTCGATGTACGTTTCACCGTATTCGCAAGTGTATCTTTTGGTATTTTCCTTCTGGATATACTCAACTTTGCTCGTGCTTTGAAGGAACTCCTGCCGATTGCACCGGTCTAGGCTTGTCAGAATTACTCTTTCCTTCTCCTCCTGACCTGGTAACCCACTTTGTCTTGCCATTGTTTCACAATGCTGCTCTGTCATGGCACTATACGACCTTCTATATGCTGATTTTATTCGATTCAAATGCCTCTAGAGCTTCCGATGTGAATTTATTTACCTGTTTTTGCTATATACCATCTCGTCAGTTCATGTAATTTTTCACTTTCTTCTTTTTTACATCTTTTGTGATGAATGCTTGTTTTCCTCCATGCAGGTTCTTAGTGGTATAAACAAGGGTAGCAACTGTGGTTATCACATGTCAGTTAACATTCCCAACTCTGTTTAAATCCTGCATCTGGCTCATTTTCGCATTTCTTTTTCACATGGAAGCTTTTGCTCAATTCCTTCGCTGACGATATCTGTCCATGCCCGAAAGTTTATGCGGCTTGGTTCATAGATTATCCTGGATTATGTGTGAGTTGTTGAGAAACTAGAAGGAGAAAGATTCTTAAAATGTTCCATCCGCAACCAACCATTCCTATTTAGCCATCTTCATGTTTTAGACGGTCTGGTATCATTCTCTAGCCCCCTTACCGGGGCTGGTCAGATTAGGTCCGACCTTACTTACTCGATGCCATCGCAGTGTTTACTCTGGAACTGTTGCCGGTGCCCGTGAAGCCTTCTTTTACGATGTCCCCGCTGTCTCCATATCATATGACTGGTAGGATTAGCAATGTTTGGATTCGCCGAGAATTTGCCTCGTGTTTTTACAATATCATTCCATTTTTTTGTCAAGTGACCTGCCTTTGTGTTTCCAAATCCTCTCCATTGTGGGTTTGTGTCGGTTGCAGGGTCCAGGGGAAGAGCGAGGTCAAAGACTTCACTCTTGCTGCCGAAGCTTGTCTGCCCATTATCGATGCCATAACCAAGGCCATCAAGAACAAAACTCACCCTCAGAAATGCTTCTTGAATATTGATATACCGGCAAATGCTGCTAACCATAAGGTAAATCTCCTCCTGCAAAGGCTCTCCCGATTTATACGTGTTTCCGCGTATGTATCTGTCATCATCTCTTCAAAGGGTATTATTTCCTCTCTCATGCCTAATGGATACTTCCAAATCGAAAAAGGGATACAAAGTGACCACACAAGGAAAAAGCATATTTAAGATGGGATGGAGCCAAGTCGCGTTTGAAGCGCAGGGAGCTAAGATGTTGTCGACAATGTCGATGGAAACAGATTCAGGTTCTGTCACGGAAACCGACACTTCCCCTCAACTGCAAGAGAGCCGTTTATTCAAGCGAGAGGTGCCTCCTTCTTCCTCCTTAACTCATTAATGGTATAACCGAGTTTTCGGATCTTTTATTAATCTCTTTTTTGCAGCTAAGGACTGTGGTGGTTGACGAGGGGACTGATCTTGATTTCCTCCGAGAAGGATACGTAAGGAATCTCATATGAACCGAAAAGAGCAGAAAGCCAAGAATATGAACGAATCTTAACGTCATGATTATAAAACCGTTGTTGCAGATTACCGTGACGCCGATCGGAGCACTCTCTCGGGTCGACAAAGACTCGGAAAACTACATCAAAGATTGGGTGCCGACCATCAAAAACCAGCCATGCCCCTCGTCCCTGTGACCTCGTCGAACCCGAGCCATTATTGGAGCAAAAAGAACTCCGTTTTGATCCGAAACACACCCTTGTGTTGGATATTGATTCTTCTTCTCAGCCATTGCTTTGGTAGGAGATCGAAGGTCTCGATCTTGGATATTATTATTACGTATGAAAAACAAAATGAAAATTAAAAAAAAAAACAAGAAAAAGGGTAAATGATTATATATGGCTGATGCATCTGTTCATATCTGTATTGCTTGTGGATTGTTGATGAACATGCTTTCGATTTTCGCTGGTATTGCAACTTCCAGTAGGGTCCGGATGATTTATCATCGGGCCCGAATCTTTTATCTCAATTCGTGAAAAAGAAATGTGAATTTAGTTTTTTTTTTATAAAAAAAATAAAGTGAAATAATAGTTTTCTCAGAAAAATTGCACCTACCGACAACAGTCAAAACACCACCTTCTACGGATTCTTCACTTCCTGTCTAGTATATATATACATGCATACATATATATATATGTAATGTGCATGATCACCATACACTTTGCACGTTAATCTTCATTACGATTTTTGCTGAATAGGTTAAAATATATATATTTTTGGTTAATAGGTTAAAATATATGAACACGTAGTGATTGATATCATCTCCATATATACTAATTTTGTGTTCCCAATTCAAATGAAATAATAAAATGCGATTTGGACTGCCAATAGAAATTTCCAATGATCATTTTTTTTCTATAAAGAAAAAGCAAAATAAAGTACCGTGTCGAATGAGTCCGTTCCTGTTTCCAATTGTGTATATATATATATAGAGTGTATATCTGTGAATGGAGAGAGAGAGAGAGAGAGAGATGAGAAAGTGTGTGTCGGTCGTATTATGTACATGAGGGAAAACGTAAGAAGAACATGCATGACGTCACGAGTTATATGTTTTGTCTTTTACATTAAGAACTCTATAAGAACAAAAAAAAATAAGAAAATGTAAAAAAAAAATATATGGATTAATAATCATGGTTTGGGTTGCAAACGATGAGGTATTGGGTGTGACTCCACGAGTATCGACCATAACACATGCACGTCTTCGTACGGACACGACTTCACATCTTCGTATAGTATGTATATCCCTCTTCCTGTACATATTAATTACGCATATACTTCAATCTTCCAATGCATATATATATATATATATAATAACCAAAACTTTTATATATATATATATATATATATGAAAGCTTGGATCTTTTGGTTATACCGGTGATTGACTATATACCCCCCAAAAATTTAATTTTATTCAATAAACATCGAATCTCGATTAGGCCTCCCTCAATCTTAATTAAACCAATATGCTTTCAAATCATTAACATATATATCCTAAATGCTTTCTATGATATGAAAGTATTAATGGATAAGTGAAACATAATCCAAAACCCATTTGTCTCGATTTCCAATCGGGTGTCCCCAATGCGTTGCTAAATGTATGCACACACACATACATATACATATATACATATATGAGAGAGAGAGAGAGAGAGAGAGAGAGAGAGGAGCATACTCTTCTTTTGAGCAGAATTGAAGCGGAACCAGAGCTTCTTCAGAGGGAAGAGGAGAGATTGGAGCCACCCCATTTCTTACACAGTGGATGTGGCTCTCACAGATATATATACATGCGTGTATATATATATATATATGCCCTTGTGTGTGTCTATATATATAGCACTGATTAAGTGTATAATATGTATATATATATGTGTGTGTGTGTGTGTATATGAGCACAACACAAGGGACAATTCAGAGAGCTCCACGGTGTATAATGAGATGGGGAATGACCCCAGCCACTTCAACGTGTTTTGTATGTTTCTTTTCGATTTTAAGTAAGCCCCAAGCCACCGTCGCCTTCCTTTTATATTTTCTCCTCTTTTTTATTTATTTATTATTTCTGTTTCCTTACAGAAGAATATATATTACACAACTCTTAATTAAAATACTTATCATGTTGTGTTTCATGTCAGTAAATCTCTATCCATATATATGTATATAAATTCTAAAAGTATTTGGTTAGGGTCTGGGTTTATGAGAAGTAACGCAACAGTGAGAAATTAGAATGATGGAATTGGGAAATTTTTTATTTTAAATATTATTTTGTGGAGGGACACTTTGGTACAAAGTGTTTGTCAAACATTTCTCTTTTATGAAGTTCACTTGTAGCTCACGAACAACCCATTTCACCTATCATGTTTGCTCTTCACACTTCTCCCATATACATATATATACATATATATGCTCATTACCAAAACTCCTGCCATCATTTTATATATATACACACACGTGTATATATATATATATATATATATAGATGCTCACACATGCATATAGATCATAACTTCCGGATATATGTGTGCGTGTGTGTATATATATATAATGCGTTTTAAAAAGAGGGGTAAAACCCCTAAAAAACCTCCAACTTGCAAAAATATATACAAATAAACCTTCAACTTGAAAAACTGTCATTCAATCCCCGAACTTGTAAGTTGTCACTGAATAAAATCTCGAACTTGCAAATTATTGTTCTAATAAACCTTTGACCGGTTTGACCACAATTTCAAACGATCGGAAATCCACATATTGACGGATTGGTGATGTTATTTTTTAAATTAAAATTGATAATTAACCTGTATAAGGCGATATCAGCAATCCGTTAATACGTGGATCCGATCACCTGAAATTGTGGTCAAACCGGTCAAAGGTTTATTAGAGCAATAATTTGCAAGTTCGAGGTTTTATTCAGTGACAAGTTACAAGTTCGGGGATTGAATGACCGTTTTTCAAGTTGAAGGTTTATTTGTATATATTTTTGCAAGTTGGAGGTTTTTTAGGAGTTTTACCCTAAAAAGAGTGTATACTTCCATTTTGATTATCTTCAAATCCAACATAAAAGCATGTATATATCAAGCGTAGTTGATGTCAACTGATTGACCTTTATACATACATATACATGAATATGTATGTAGAAGTTTCTAATTGATTAAAGCATCTCAATTAATCTTACTTATGTGATGCATGCTAACATATATATTCACTCCCTAAAGGTTATTAATAACAAGACATTTCCAAGTAATTTTCTCACACATGCTTTATCATCTATAATATAATCTCACTAAAGTCACTAAAAATATTATATGCTTTTCTCATCGGATATATATATATATATTAAATTTTCCAATGTATTAATTGTCATATTGTATATATAACCCCTATAGAATCATCCGTGGCCCCATAAGGAAAAAATGTGGACCACCTTTTTTTTTCTCCCTTAGAAAACAAGAAGAGAGGGTGAAATATACATGATTTTGGACCGACCCATATAGTATTTTTATTTTTTTTCCTTGATCAAGTGAAAGACATGTAACAAGTGTCGGAGGAAGAATTAGAGGCATTAGGGTTTTTTTTTTCCTATATAAGAGAGAGCCACCTGTCGGGTGTGGCCACGTATAGGGTGCCTTAGAAGTCGTCAAACTTCTTCACCTTTCCTTGCTTCAAAATCAACCTCCCCCTATTCATTTTCACACACGCATTTATTAATTTATATTATATTATATATATATATATATATAATATTGTTGTGTGACAATATATTTTATACTCAGATATTCGATCCAAACCAACAACCGTATAGAATAAAGAAAACAATTTTTTTAATATATAAAAAAAAACTTTTAGTGGAAGGAATGTAACACTAATCTGAAAAATACTTGAAATTGGATTGTTTTTGCGTTTATGTGAGTGATAATGGGGAAATAAAGAATTTGAAAAAAAAATTGTTTTTTCTTTAAAACTATCACATAAAATAATCATTTGTCTTGTCTCTTTGGTTCGTGGTAAGTTTATGCTTCTACGAAATTTATAAATTAATAAATAGATAATATAAACATTTTGAAAAAATATAATTAATTTTTGTGAATAAAAATACGTCATCTCTATTATATCTTATTAGATTATTCTGCATCGATATTTAAACAATAATATAGAATAAAAAAACTTCTGAAATACCCGATTACAAAAATATATGACTAAATAGTCCCGATTATATCAAAAGAATTATCAGCCTCGATTAATTTTTTTTAAATATAATACATGATTGAGATTAACCGATCAATGAGAGGCCCAATTAAGGCCCAATTTAATCAATTGCAAGACCCATGTAAAACCAATCCAGATTTTGCATGAAGTTAACTGGAATCTAAAATTGTTTGCTGAACATAAATAACACAATTATTTTTAATTTCAATTTAATACTAACGATAAAAAAAAAAATCCGAACCGGAATACATCATATTTTTAATCATTTAATTCAGTCGATTCAGGATGAATCTTCAGAAGGATTTTCTACGGAAATCATCAAACAGAAGGAAACCCGAGAGCATGAACTGTTAAAGCTGTTTCCTTTGCATAGTGAAAGGTTTCTCCGGGAGAAAAAAGGCGAGATTAAAACCCGAGAAGGTGAGTAAGTACCCGGAACAATGTTCACACAAGCTGCGAGCTTCTCTTGAACTAAGCTGTTAGCCAATTTCTTCCCTGTCAATAAGGTAAAAGTAAACCGACCACAAACTTTGAATTCAGTATCCATCATCAAGTCTCTCATACTCTACCAATTCATATTCAATATGGCAAGTAGCATAATTAATCATTTGGCTCTGAGGAGAAGAAGGGTAAGCTCATATAGATCCAGTTAACGTAACATCCCGCGACGTTATGGATGTTGAAACTGTTTCCACCGACCAATGCAATACTTTTCAGCATGTTTTGTCATCAGTCGCATACTTTTTTGAGAAATACTTCCCATGAAATCACTCACCTTAAGACTATTCTAGTGCGAGCACGCTTAACTTCGGAATTCTCACGGGATAAACAATCGAAAAGGTAGATTCATTTTGTTGGTATGAGTAATTCAACTAATTATTTTAAGTCATCGTTGATTGTGTAGTCTCGTATCTATACAACCTCCAAATCTCTCTCTTTCCGGTGTATTCGATTCGTCCCATCTTGAAATTCGATAATTTCGAAACATTTACAATGAATCTATACATTATATTTATATATATATATATCCAACAATTGATTTGGTGGGTAGAGTAGGGACTCCAATATCCAATAAATAATGAGTCTGTTTGGTGGTCAAACGTAACGCTGTTTTCTCTGTCACAATATTTTTTTTTTTTGCAAAAGCTGCTTCTCACAGTTTATTATTGTTATCATTATCAGAGATTTTGTTTATATTTCTTTTATAACGGTCCAACCTTATCATAATTTAAAAACATTAAATTCCAAAAAAAAAACATAACAATACAAAATTGTTTGTCCAATTGGTCATGTCCGAAATGATCCACTTGACAACTCAGCTTTTTTACCCCCTCTTTTGCTTTTACCCGTCCCAACAATTTTTTTTATATAAAATATGAATTATATTAAAAAAAATTGTACATAAACTACATTTATAACATTAAAAAGAACATTTTGAGATGGGATAATATAAACTTATTTGACATCTCATTATATCAAAGTATTTTCTTGTAACGGGTGAAATAATTTAATGAGCAATCCTTTCTTAATCAGCCAATTGTGTTAAGCATTTTTCATAATACATATAAAAATAAAAAGAGAGACGGGTAAAATGATTAACCAATAAGCATAATAATTGCATATTAGTGTAATGGAGTGGAATGGTGGGGTTATAATATTATTTTTTGCAGGTTAAGGACCATCTGCGCATTAACAAAAAATAAAAGTTGAATATCGGGTTTCAAAATTTGAAAAATGGCAGTTTCAGAAACTGGATCGAAAAAAGAAATCCATTTATAAAAAAAGCTTCAAATTCTTAAGGAATATTTTTTTCTTCTATCCAACATTATGAATATATAAATTTTGATGTGTTATTTATCTCTTTCCTTTCCATATTACGTATTGCTACGTATTGGCGTTTTTGTAATAAATAAATATATTAAAAAAAACAAAAGTTCAGAAATCTCTCACTCTGATATTCTAATAAAGAAAAGAGGTTCGTAATTTAAGTAAATGATGAAGTTGATATAACATTATATAAATCGAGAATAGAATACAAAGAGCTATATTTAGGTTATGAATATTGATAGTTTTTTGTTTTCGATTTTTAGTTTTTGGTTTTCGATTTGTGTAATTTTTTTAGTTTTTATAAAACTTAATTAAAAGAGTATTATTTTAATTTTTAATTTTTAGATTTTATATGTAAAATTATCAGAAAGGTTTTTTTTTTATCTAAAGTGAAATTTTTCTTTAAAATTGTGTGTATTTTATCCTTTGAATATTTTATAAAATTAATATTTAAATAAAAAAAATGAAACTATGTAATGAAAACCCTAAAAACCTCCTCCATTTAAACTTTTAAATTAAGGAAACAAATAAGATGATATCGTACGGCTGATATGTTTAGTATTTATAGCGATACCAAGCTCTTTAGGACACGAAACCGAGTTTTAATTATTTTAGCTATCCAATATTTTAATTATTTTCAAAACTAAAAATGCAATAATTTTCAAGTAAAAGTAATAAAAATTTAAATATATATATATAAGATTTGGTGTGTACGCGCTCACTCGGGGTATAAACGGTTCTCGAATCTCTTTTTGACTTTAGCAACAAGATGGACAAAACTTGAGGAACGAGCACGTGAACTGGTGTGTCTTTCTTTGGCTTACACAACTTGCCACGTGGAATATCGAAAAAGGGCACTCCTGTCATTTCATCACCCAGAGCATGGTCGCCGCCGTGACGACAACGGTCTCATTTCTTAAGAAGAAAAAAAATGTCCTAATTCTTTCCTTTATTTATTTATTAAATAATAATTTAATTACACGAGTGTCTCTTTATTTTCCTTTTTACTATGCATCTTATATTTGGTGTTAATTGTGTCGGGTGACTTAAACTATCATCATTTTTTAAAATAATTAATATCTAATAAAAAATGTGAGTTTTAATTAGATGGATGTGGTGATTTAATTAATAGACTATTACGCTTTGTAATTTAATTAGCAATAACATGACCGATAAATTATTTATTTATTTATTAAATTAGATCACGAGATTGAGCTGTTCATTTAGACCCCAAATTTCACAAAAAAAGTTTGGGGTTTCTGTAAATCACTTTGTTTGGTTCGTTAATTTCCCTTGATACAAAGTTGTCTCCCCACTAGTCATCTGTCTTAATGTGACCACCTTCAGATATCATTGTCCTCGTGATATGGTTGTGCTAATATATCCGTATATACATGCATATATATATATATACATATGTATATATACACATATACATGTATATACACGTATACATATGTATTGGTTGAACAAAAATGGTAACGGTAGAGACTTACACGACTACTTTCGTTGTACGTGGCTGAAATTTCCAACACATCTCCAAGAGTTGTATTCTTATCAAGAATTTTTCGGTATATTACGAGTGGATATAATTCATGGACTGGACATGCATTTAATGTTAATTTACATATATATATAGATATATATCATGTATTATAAAAATAAATAATCGGGGCATACAATTTTGATTCATATTAATCACCAATGGTAAACATAGAAAAACGCTTTATTTTAATACGAATGAATAATGTGTCAATGGAATATAAAAGAATTATATCCAAAACATCATAAATATTAGTCTAAAAACCTTTTTAAAATATAAATAAAAACCATTTTCCTGAAAGCACCGATTTGTTTAGTATTTATTTTTTTCACAAATATTCCGCAATCACATCATTTTGTACTTTTATATTTTTATACTATTTCATTATTAATATTTCGAACCATTCACAAATCAATAATTTATGGATACATTTCATTATCAAACGTTTACAAAACGAATTTGATAACGCATGCATGCATGTATACATAGGAAGGACAATAAAATCGGGGTGTCACGTAGTAGAAGACAAAACGTTGAGGATGCATTGTTTTCCAACTAATAAAGACATTCTTTTTGTCATTAATATGCTTATTTTACACACAAAATATAGTAATTTTATATTTATTTATTTATTTTCAAAACTACAATAATAGCTAGCGATTGTAATTTCATTTTGAGATTTTTGTATCATAGCTGGCTATTCCCGTTAAAAATTCCATTTTCATAAACGTCGCCGTCCAAATTTCACAGTACCTGCGCTATATATTTAGACGTTGACTATAAATAAGTAGGCGGTACAATTTTAAAAAAATATTCAAATATTGTATAATTTGAGATTAGGCCAATGACAATGATTATATATATATATATATATATATATATATATATATACCAATAAGAAAAACTATATATTTTTTTTATAAAGACACGTGCAAAATATTAATTAAGGGTACAATCAGTATATCTGCATACTAATCTCTAAAATGTGAATAAAAAAGATGTAATATTTGAAATTCTGGCTGATTTATAAAGCAAGTTGAAAAACAAAATAATATTGAAGATTACGAAACATTGACCCCACCGTCTCTTATCAAGTGGTTTAATAAATCACGAGTCAAATACTCAGAAAGGCCACAAACGGAGCAATCTAACAGCGTTAATGCGCCGTTACTCGCCGGCATCTCAAGGCCCGCAAGACGACATAACGGCGTCATCTGCCCAATAATTGTTGCTATATATGTAGGCAGATGGTGTTTTCAGACATAACACACACTGATTCTCCTCTTCTCTCTCTCTCTCTCTCTCTCTAAACACACTCTATACATACAGTGATACACATATACACAAACGCAAGCGTGTTATATAGACTGTATATAGAAGTACAAAGGTTTTGCTTGAAGAAGAAGCTTGGTGTCTTGATACAATCACTGTCTGATCTCGTTTCTCCCCCAAAGATCCAATCTTTTTTTTTTAACCCAAAAAAAAAAAGATTCAATCTTTTTAGTTCTTTTGCTTTTGTTTGCTCTGTTTCAAACCTTTCGTTATTCGTAAAAAGAACAAAGAGCGATTGTCTGAAAATGGGTAAGAAAGATCACGAGGATCAGAAAGTGGAATCTGTTCTTCATCTCCTTTGCAAACAATCTCCACTTTCTCTGAAACAAGTATGTCGTCTTCTTGTTTTTTTTTTCTTTTTTTTTGTTGTCTCATATATATATATATACACACATATATACATATATAATGTATTGCATGTACATGTGTAAATGAAAGCTTCGATTTTTATGTGATGGAGCAGGAGAAGTTCTGCGACAAAGACTGTGTGGAGAGGTTCTTGAAGGGGAAAGGAGATAACGTCAAAAAAGCTGCGAAACAGCTGAGGTCTTGCCTTTCTTGGAGACAGAGTATCGGAATCGGTATTTTTTTCACCCACTTCTACACATTCGTACGTATAAATATATACATACATATGCAGCAGATACGCTCCCGCGTGTATGTATGTATGTATACTGATATACTCTACGAATGCATACACGCACAGACATATGCTCTATTTTATTGGTATCCTTTACACAGATGTTAAATCTTAAGGTTTCTGACTTTTCTTTTGTCTTTTTTTTTTAAAAAAAAATTAAATATATAATCTATCAGAGAGCTTGGCGGCGGAGGAATTCTCGGCCGAGCTCGCCGACGGTGTGGCTTACGTCGCCGGCCACGACGGAGAATTCAGACCCGTTATCGTAAATTTCCCCATCTGTATTAATTTCATTTTATTTTCTCTAATAAAACATTATTATCTGTACGCTTTGAGATGACGACAATATTAAGCCGACAGACGGTTATTGGCATTGTTTTTTTTTTAATTTATATATTTTTTTCATGCAGATTTTCCGTTTTAAGCAGGACTATCTCAAGTTGCATTCCCAGAAACAGTAAGTCCAACTAGGACTAAATAAAGTCAAAATAATTTATAATCACTAAAAATTAAAAGCTAAATCAAAGATATGGGAACGACAGTAAATGCGCATAAATTATAATCTTGATCATTTAATTATGCTTATGATCTGATTAAAATGTTAATATCGAAGGTTCACGCGTTTTGTGGCGTTCACGCTCGAGACCGCGATTGCGACCATGACCAGAAACATGGGACAGTTTGTTCTCCTCTTCGACGCGAGTAAGTTAAATAAACTTAGTATCAACGATAATTTTACCTTTTTACCCCTCGGAACTCCTGGATTATAGCGTAGTATAGTGTATTTTTTGGTAATTATATAGCCGCATCTTGCGGTTGTCTGGTCTGAACATGCCAACGCGCGATATAAATGAGTTTTTGATTTGTGTTATGTCGTGGACTGAAGGCTGAGACATGGTTTCCTTAAAATGTCCAAACTGCCCCTCACGTGTCACCGTCACTTACCTGCATAAATGCCCCGTAAGTTCAGGGATATTTTCGGTATAAAAAAAGCTACCTCCACGGTAATTTCGAAATGATTAAGGAGTAAAAAAGAGTTGTTAATGATTTTATTTTTGAAGTCAAGTACTGAATTTTAACTCTGTTCACTGTGTCCATGAGTCACGTAAAATTTTTCTACCTTGAAAAGATGATTGCTGTGTTTGTGTATTTATATGTACGAGTCGTCTGGTCCTTTCGGTATAAATATGTACATTCAATTTTCAAAAATATCTAGTTATAAAAAATTTAATATATAAAAACTTTCGTCAAAAATATTTATTAACCCCATTTACTAGTTTTGTCATTTTGCAAAATATCTAAATATATTTTTTATTAAAAATAAGAACTGTTCTGTTACCAATTTTGATGTTTACATTTTTATTTAATGGTAAAAATATAGTAAATATGATCATAGCATTGACTGTACTTATGGTAGCTATTGTTTTTATTAACATGGTAATTATTTTTTTACAAGTATTGTTTGAATTCTTCTTTTTGCACTATTGATCTTGTTTTTTTTAATTTCACTGTCCTTTTTTGCATAGTAGATTTGTAATTAAAAAATTACATTGATTTACCCAGCCCCTTTTATGCCAATATTTTTTACGTCACGCCTGAAAAGTTTTAGCCTTTTTTTTTTGCACATAAAAGAAGAAAATTCCCTGTCTTTTTTTCCATTCTTTCGAGAAAAATGCATTTTAAAAAGAATTGATTTTTCGCTGAAAAGCGAGATTTATTTTATGCAAAGGACGATTTAGTTTATATGTTTAAACGTGATTATATGATAACAGTTGTCTTATCTAATTGCATGGAATTAATTTATTTATTTATTTGGCCTAAAAATTACAGGCTTTTTCAGATCAGCCCCAACTTTTACAAATCTGCTTCTGGCAACCCTTAAAATTCTCGTGGAGAATTACCCATGTCGACTTTACAAGGCCTTCATCATCGACCCACCCTCTTTATTTTCTTATATTTGGAAGGTAGCAATTTTAATTTAATTAATTATTTGCTGTGTCCTAATTATTATTTTGACATGTATTTAGTTAGTGATAATCAAGTGCGGTTACGTGTACAGGGATTCCGTCCGTTTGTGGAGCTGTCAACGGTCACGGTGGTGGTCTCGTCGCTAGACTACGAAGAGTCGTTAGATTTCAGCCACGTGTCAACTTTCCCGAGATCCGCTTCCCTCCGGTTCCATCCTTCGTCCATCAAATCAACGGCCAGGATCGGTTCGTCTTCTTCCAGATTCGCCTTCACCGTATCTCATCATCGCGACTCCTTGAAGCCGTGGTACCTCTCCTTCACCGACACGTCACCTCTTCCCGTCACATCCTCCGCCGCCGGGAAAATTTCTCCGATGAGCGCGCGGTCGCTGTCTTTCGCTTCTCCGGCGTATCGTGGCCTAGACGTGCCACCCCCCGCCGCGTGCAGGAAGAGCCTGTTTCCGTCGACGCCGTTGCCGGAAAAATCTACGACGGAGTTTCGCCCGAGGACGCCGCGTCCGTCGTTCTTCCAGTCCCCCGCGACTTTCTTCCGCCGGGAGAGCCACGTAAGCGGTGGTGGCGGCGGAGGGGGAGGCGAGAAGGCACGTGAGTCGTTCGTGCCGTATCTGAAGTTCTACAGGCGACCGTACGATGAGTTTGGTTACAGGTCTAAGCTGCGGGGCCCACGTAGATTCCTTTCTGTCGTGTCTCCACAGATCAGACGTCGCCACGTGTCAGTATCGCAACGGTTCTAGATTTATTTATTTAAAAAAAAAAAGGCGCAAACGAGGAATGGAGTATACGGCGATATACCGTGCGATTACTGATTTTACTAATCGGGTGATTTGTAATTATTTATTTTCTACAATTAAATAGTTTTCAAATTAATGGGTGCATGAGTGTTTGTGGGTCCACTATCATTGGTTGATGAACAGAAATTTATAATAAATTAATGGAAGATAAATGTGTTATTAACGAGGATTATTAACTCCTGTGCACGTGTGTGACTTGGGGATATGAAGTCGGTTAATGGATTCAAGATAGCGTGGTCGCAACGTCAACGAAAAATCGCATTGGACCTATATATATAATATATTAAGAGATAAAATAAACAATAGTTATTATTATAATTAATATATAAAAATAACATAATTTAGCGAGAAGCCAATGAAATTCAGAACATTATTTTGTTTTTCATTTGTTTTACCAGATAAAAATATATCATGGGTTTTTCAAACTTTTTCTGTCTAAATTGGGCTTTTATATGGGCTTTTTAATTTTAGGGTTTTAAAGTGTTCTTGGAATTGGGTAAGAATTCCACATAAATCAAGGTCATATGGGCTTTTTCATAACGGCGAGAGCAACGGACGTTAATGTCTCCCCCAGAAAAAGGTGTGACTGGTGGTAACGCAATCGCCCGCAATCACAGTGATTGCGACTTCTAGCGATTACGGGTAATTGAAAAAGTGATTGATGAAATCGTAATCGCCCGCAATCGCAACAAAACATCAATATTCTAATCGTAACTAAAAGATTGCGTTACGATAGTGTTTTGCAGCGTTTTAATTAAATGATCAAAATACCCCTAATATTAATTAGTATATATACATACATATCATATTATATATATAAAGAACTTACGTATGTGTATATACATAAAATATATAAATACATATATATAATACATATATATATACATACAAACATACATATATATACACAAACAATCATATATACATATATACATCTATATACATATACACATACATACATATACATATACACATATATATATATACACACACATGTATATATATAAACATATACATACATATATATATACACATATATACACACATACATACATATATATACACACACATACACACACACATACATGCATACATACATACATACATACATATACATATATACATATATACATATATACACACATACATATATCTATATACACATAAATATACATACATATACACACATACATACATATATATACACATGCATACATATATACACATATACATATATAAATATATACATACGTACATATACATATATATACACATACATATACATACATGCATACATATACACACACATACATATATACATATATACACACATATATATATACATACATATATACACACATACATATATATACATATACATACATACATACACATATATAGACATATATATATACATACATATATTTATATACTTAATACATATATACATACATAAATTAAAAAAAATATATTAATAATTTTGTTTGGTATATATATTATGTTTGTTATTGTTTGGTTTTATCAATAAATATTTTTAATATTAAAATTATCTTTGAAAATAAATTAAATTGATAACAAAATAATATTTTCAATTTTATAATTAATTATTTATAAATTTAATAATTATTTGATATTAAATAATAGTAAAAAACTAATTAAAAATATTTTAAAAATGGTTAGTATTGTATATAATGATGTATTTTTTTGTAATTTAAATCAAATCGCAATCGCAATCGCTGTCAACGAATCGTTTTAAATCGCAATCACTCGCAATCACTATCAATAACAGTTTTTTACCAGTCAGTACCAATCGCCTAGAATCGCCAGCAAACGCATCGTAAATGCTCGCAATCACCGCGATTGCGATTGTGATTCCACCAGTCACCACCAAAGAGTAACTGGACAGTCGTTAAAGAGACGACGAAAAAGGAGTCTGCTGAGATTCGTATAGTGAAACCAAGAAGAAGAAAATTGTGGTTATTTTTATGGGAAAATTCCAAATAAATATATCAAATTGTTATTTTTATCGATAAATATATAAATTTGATAGATACTAAATAAATATATGGCATTGCAATTTTGAACCATATTACTACACAAACGTCGTCGGTATTTTAAAGTCGTCGGCTCTTTAACGTCGTCAGACATCGTTATGCGTGGTTTCCCTATTTTTTATTGATGAAAAATATGGTAATTTGAATTTCATATACCAAAGTTATAATAAAAACGTCGTCGAAAAAAAGTTATTACAACCAAAAATTCGTAAACACTACATTTTATTGGGAGTGGGAGTTTCAGATTTCGGTTCAAAATTTTAACAGTTCGGTTCAAGAATAGTTTATTCGGTATTCTAAAATTTACATCAAATTAGTACCATATATTATTCGGTTCTAATTTCGGTTTTTGTTACAAAAATTAGATTTTCTTAAGTAAATTTCGGTTTTTCAGAAATTTAATAAAATTCGATTCGGTTTCGAAAAATTCGATTCTATTAAAAACATACTGTCTGTAAATTTTGAATAGTACGATTCGAAAAAATTATCCAAAATTTTCCGTTTCTCGGAACCGAACTTAAATGCCCACCCCTACATTTTAATATTTTATCATTGAATCTTAACATTACATTTCACTCGTTCATATAATAGACCGAAGCACCGACGATTTTATTTCATCATTGATCGCGATATTTTATTATAGAAATCTTGAAATTACATTGCTCTCGATACATATAATAGAGGATTGAGGGGGGATTAGGGAGCCGCCGGGGGTGAAATTGTCGAGTTAGAAAGTTTGAGGGGCTTTGCGTAAACGTAAGGGTTCCTCTCAAAGAAATTGGTGGGCTTGAGTTCAAACCCACCTTTCAATAAGGGCATTATCGGAAAATCTTCTTGGCATGGCACGTGATGTATTCCCATTGTGTACCACACAACAATGTCCCTCTTCTCGATCTCTCTATTCCTGCACATTCAAAATATCAAAACATATATAGATATATAAACAAACTCATCAATGCATCAAATCTTAAAAAATAATGCAAAAAATTGAAATAATATAGCGGTATATTGGTGTATATATAGTATGTATAGTACTTGTCGGTCCAGACGGCTAATGTATCGTCCCCTCTGCTCTGGAAGGCGTACAAGCCAGAGGCGAATCTCTCGGACTTGTTGTACGGCGTGACCCACAAATTATAGTTTGTGAACGCCGCCCTCGTTTGGGGATAATCGTCTCCCGACAAGAGAGGAACTGTGGCGGTTCCCGGGACCAGACTGTATCCGACGGTGTTTCCCGGTCGGGTCCTCTTTTCCGGATTGACCACTGTGAATTCCGCCGGTTGGGACCCGACCCGGGTCCGGGCGTCGAGTTCTGTAGCGGCCGTCTCGTGTTGCACGGTCCAATAACTCTTTCTAGGGACCCTGTGAGCCGTGTCGCTTATTCTCTTGGTTACAAGTTTTGTCTTAACGAACGAATTTATCGGACCGTCGACGTCTAGATCGAGACGGTAGTTCAAGAAATGGTCGTGGTATGTTCCGATCGTATTGTCTACGATTAATGTTCCGTGTTGGTCGTCTTTGATTTGGTCTTTGTGCGTGTACGATGTTCCTCTCACTTCGAGTACCCCGGAAAGACCAATCTGTCGAAGAGAACATAATGTAGTAATTATATAACATATGTATATATATATAACTTGAATGAGTTATATATTTTATGAAAAGTCACGTATTAATATGTAAAAGAAAAATAAATAAATATATGAATCTTTAATTTTTTCAGATAAATAGAGAGACTTTTCTTAATTCATATATTAAATTGTCAATTTTAAAAATTAAAATCGGAAATTTTTACACGATTCCAAAAACAGCTACCCAATTAAATAATAAAATATTAATCACAATGATAGAAACCGTTTAAAAATTGAACTTTTAATATATAAATTAAGAAGATTTTGTTTATTTTTTTTAGAAATTTTATAGTTCGTATATTTATTTGAATTTTTTTTTTCACAATTTCGTGTATTAATTTGTTATTTTTCATATTTATATACGTACATGTAGATTATTTTTTTCTTATCTACCTCGACTTTGATGGAGCCTGTGGGCTTGAACTCCCAATCCATGATGTAATCGTAGTTGCCAAGTGTAGCCGCCATCCTTACAACCAAGCTCACGCCTTGTCTTGCTTCCGTGAACTACAATTTCATACCCGACAAATATTTTCTTAATACACGATCGTATAATCAGCAAATTTTATAGGTACAAAATATTTTTTTTATAACCGGGTTTCCTAGGCCGAGGCCCAGACTAATCCCGGGACCGGGAGTCAGCCATGTGATTTGAATTACGCGCTCCTTTCCCAGCCTGGATTCAAACTCGGGGCGGGATAGACGTTTTACGCCCCCGTTTCACCGGTTGAACTACCCATGTTGGATACGTACAAAATACGTTATTTCCATGCATATGATGATATACAGACAAGTGGCGTCGTACCTCATCGAACTCCGTCTCTGCATGCCGCCACATCGTGTCGCCAGTGTACCGTTCGAAAACGCAGAACGCGTTAGGGATCTTGACGACGGAGCCACGTGGCGGGCCGGAGAAAAACGCGTCCATGAAAACGGCGTTTGGTGGGCAGTCGGAGAAAGGAGCGAGTGACGTGGCGGATTGGCCGCAGCCCCACTCGCCGCAGTCGAAGAATGTCTTGTAGTACCATTCCTCCGAAGGGTCTTGGTACGAAACGAATAGCTCCGAGACATAACCCTTGTACAGCACCAACCTTTGCCTTTTCTGATCCACGTCGTATACCGAAGCTAACGATATGACCGGGCCCACCCTCATGTCGTATCCCACGTGGAATTTCCAGTTTGCCCAGATGTATACATTATGGTTTCGGGTCACAAATAAATGGTGGGAAAATGAAGAAAAACGTAACAACACAACTAGGGTTTGTTAACAGAGCGTTTCGCGACGTGGACCTGACGACATGACCGTCGATTTTGAAGCCGGGACCGTCCGACTGAGAAATGGCAGTGTCCTTAAGATCCAAACCGACAGGAACACGAAGACTTTCATCTCTGTAGTCAGTTCCTTCGGCTTTGGGCATTGGAGCTTTACCCGTATCTTTGTACTCTACGATCTTCATAGCGTCAAGATCTACTCCGATTATCAACCCATCGATGGGTCTCATGTACAAATTAGACGTCCCTTCCGAGTAAAAACACAATATCTTCGTGACCCTTGGCTCGTCTTCTCTCGCCTCGTATGTTTGTCCGTACCACCCTCCCGTAAACGTACTGCATTCAACGTGGGACATGTTCAACCCACGTTGAGTCATGGACTTAACAAAGGGCACGTACTTTTTGGTGATTTTCACGGCCAGATTCTGCTCGTCTATCGTCATCATTTGGTAACCGAAACCCGAATGCGTTTTCTTGGAGAGTATGGTTCCTGAAGAGAGGTCAATGGTGAGCTCTAGGTTTTGTTTGTTCAGTCTGACAATGGCTGTGGCTCTGCGCGGCGGTGGCAGCGTGGCGGAAGGGCTGGAAAGCCATTTTAGGACAGCGGGTTTCTCGGGCTCGTCTAGGGCTACATAGTGGAAGTTGAGGTTACGTTTCGAATCGCCAAAATGGTTGTTGATTATGGATTGGATTCGGGTTATTTCGGACGGGGTTAATGGGTCTAGAGGGTGAGTTCGAGATGAGATTGTGGAGATGAAGATGGAGAGTGATAGAATGAAGAGTTGAATCTTCAATCGTGAAGTCGACATTGTTGTTCCTTTTGTGTTTTTTTGCAAGTGTCTTGCTTGGAGGAAGGCTTGTGCTCCCTTGTCCGTTTTATAGCGTTTTATTAGGTGACTTTTCATCTATATAAGTTGATTACAACAAATTTTGTTAATTTTATTGCGATTAAGAAGTCAATCAAGATCGCGTAACATCTTTATTAATTATTGAGGTTTTTTGGTAGATACTTGTTAATGTCACATTTAATTCTTTCATATCCTTTCTCCAATTCCATGGCCGTGGTACTTTTCATTTCCGGCACGTTTAAAACCTTGGAAAAAATCACTCTAAATTCCAAAAGATTCCCGAGCCAAAACCAAATACTGTCCATCAAATATCAACTCACCGAATATATATACGTAAAGGTTATGCATAGAATTCTTCATATCGTGACGTGTTTCAATTCATTTAAAGATAATTTATGTTGTATTTGTAAGAAATTTAACTTACACATTATAAAAATAATAATAATAGACATGATATAAACCGATGGGCAATATGATTTGTACCATTTTCCGAGCCTGAAAACAACTTTTCCCCATAAATAAATTTATTATAATATCTATTATATAATAAGGTTGAATTCATCTTAAACGATTCATTTCATCTTGAAATGTATATAATAAGATATTATCATTAATATGATTATGATTTAATCTAGATATTATATCTAGAATATTCCATTGTATTTTCAATATGTTAGCGTGTATTTTGCAGTCATCTATAGAAAACCAGTATCTTATATAATGATCACACGATATGAAAAAATATCGTAACAATACATCCACACCTGAGAATTATCTCCTCAAGGGGAGAGTAGTTCTGTTTCCTCATGGTTTTGAGTTTGCATCCAATCCTTTCATGTTCATTAAGAAAGAAAATCCAAACGGAGATTAGCCACTAATTGAAACAGAAGGTGTTGAAACACTAGCTAGAACACGACAGGACGAAAGATATTGACGTGGATGAATACAGATACACACATGGGCAGATCCTATATATGTACAATAGAATGGGCACATATATGCCCCCACTGTTAAATAAAAAATATTTAATTTCATTGTAAATTAAATAAATTTTCAATCAAAATCGTGAAATGCCCCCATAATGAAATTAAATTTGTCCGTATAATATTCCGCGATTATACATTATGCCTCCAGTTATAAATGATTCTCGGTCCGCCACTGGATACAGTACATGTTCATCATATGATGAGTCTCTTTCACTACATATAATAAGGGGACCAAAGATTCGCCTCGTGACGATATGAGCTTGCAACTTGTGTTTCAATCACTCAGTGAAGCTTCTTACATACCGTACGTAACATCAGACATTCGAACTCTGTCCATATAAAAAAGGAAAGTAATATCCCACTTTTAATGGGAAGTTTTAATCACGTACGTCTTCATGTCTGGTCTGGTTGGTATTGTCTGGATGTCTCGTGCATGCTATGCATGCATGGTTTTGAGTCCATGGTAGTTACGTAGTAGGTATTGAGATTAGGGTTTGGATTCACGATCCAGTGAGCCCTATGCACGGAACGAAGAGTTTAATCTTCAACATTTTAAATGTTATATATATGTTTGGACCGACCTTTACGTACTCTTCTACGTTTCACATTTGTGGGGTTTGAATTGGGATCGGAGGACCATGACCATGCATGCATCTATACATTTCTTTATATTTAATTCTTGATCTGTATTGAAATGACATCTTAACCTCACATCGCCACCACTTCAATGTCACTTTCCGCCGTTAATACAATTTGGGTCGGCTTAAAACTCTTAGAAAATTAGATTCGAACCCTAAGATCATATGGTCCGACTCGGACAAGTATACGGAGTGGCCACCTCACAAATTTTGGAAGCTCTGTACATATTCTCAATCAATAAAAATTATTAACTAATATATTTTAAAAAATAATATTTAAATAAAATTAAAAAATCAATATTGTATTATTTTCAAAAACATTTAAAAATGGTTTAATATATTAAATTTAATATAATTTACAAATGAATGGATATAATATATTTTAATATAATTCTAATAAATATATTTTCCGTTTTTAAATATATTTTATAGTAATAATTAGTTTTAATAAATATTTTTTACAACGATTATAATATATTTTGGTTTTAGTTTTTAAAATAAATATTTATATATTATTACTATTTTTTAATTAATAAAGGATCTTATAAATTTTGGGGACCCTGTTTCATTGCACCACCTATACCTGTTAATAGGTCATTCTGAATGTGATAATCTACCGTATAAACTCATAACCTATCAAAATTAAATTGTATTATATCAAATATATATATATATAAATTTATTTTATTTTGTATAATGAATCGATCGTTGCACACCTATCGCGACATCGATATTTCAATTTTGCCCCTCTATTTTCTCTAGGGCAAATCTAAGAAAACTTCAACTGTCCTATTTCAACATTTGTTTTACTTAAAATTCATTACAAAAAATATTTCATTTTAACTTTATTATAAAAATATCAACTATTAATTTTAATAAATACATTATCGTCTATCTAAATTATTCAAAAAATATTATGTTTTAAATTTATTAGAAAAATTTATCAAAATTTGAATAGAAAAATATATATAAACTGCACAATTCTAAAACTTATAATAAAAATATAATATCTATTTTAATTTATTATATTATAATATTTAAAAATTATATAAATATTTATAAATATCAATCTTTATATAATAAATATGTATAAAAAATGTTATAATTAAAATTAAATATATTTTTTTGGTTATAAATAGTATATTTAAATTTTATCATTGAGTGGTTGCAAACTATTAATTTATTTTTTTATTAAAATTAATAGTTGATAGTTTTTTTATATTAAATTTAAAATAAAATAATATTTTTAAATAATTTATATAGTTTATGGTCTTTTTTATTCAAAGACAAAGTTGATGGTTGACGGTTTTTCATAATAAATTTTAAGTATGATGTTTTTTTGTATGTAAATAGAATAGTGAAGATTTTTTTTATGGTTTGTCTTTTTTCTTTATATTTTTGTTTCTTTTTTTTCTTTTTCTGTTTGTTTTTATTTGAAATATACACAAAAAAATAATAAAAACATCTACCAACAATATTGGACCACCACAAAAATAATAATACAATATTTAAAATCACGCATCTCGTTAGATAAATCAATGAATGTGATATGGATAGTCCCACCTTTTACACGTGCTCGTCGGTTTGGTCCTAAATCCACCACAAATAGAAAAAGTAGAAAAAAAGATTATGATGCATATCAAAGTCCTTGTAATTACTTTTTTTTTTTCCGGATCATGCTCATTGATTAGATTTAGATGATGTATACATTGCATGTGATCTCAATTGGGTCGAAGGCGGAAAGATGACCCAATAGATTAGATGAGAGATGACAAAGTTATCTTCAAAATATTAGGTTCGATTTTATTGGTGGAGAATCATGTAATTTTTGGACTAAAATACTCTATATATAAAGACTGGTCTGCTCTCATGTTTAAGGTAAATGTAGGGATGTAAAACGAGCCGCGGATCGCGGGCCGGCTCGTGAGTCGGCTCGTATTTTTCTGGGTTGGGCTCAAAATATTTGAGCCCATAAAAAACCGGGCCAAACGAGCCAGCCCATCACGAGCCGGGCTCGTGGCGGGCCAACTCGTCACGAGACGAGCTGGCTCGCGGGCCAAATTTTTTTAATTTTTTTTTTAAATATTTTTATATATTTTAAAATATTTTTATATACAAATTATATTTTTTTATTACATATTTAGTTTGTTTTTGTTTAAAATTTTATTTTTTTATTATATTTTAAATATTTTTTATATTTTTTAAATATGAAAATTAGTTTTAAATATTTTTAGTATTAAAATTTTATTTTTAAAAATTATATATTTGGCTCGCGGGCCGGCTCGTTTGGCTCGCGGGCTAAGACGATATGGGTTGGGCTGATATATTTATGGCTCGCTAAAAAACGGGCCGGGCTGGGTTGGGCTAAATTTTTTTCGGATCGGAACGAGTCGTGCTGGGCTGGGCCGGGCCGGCCCGTTTTACACCCCTAGGTAAATGCAATCGCTTCTTCTCGAGAATAGTACAAGAACATTTGTTTATATATATAGATTTTAGACACATACACACTTTGAATAAACAAAAGGGAAAAATATGAATCACATGCATCTTTTTATAAGGTGAATTATTATTAGTAATTACACACCATGGGCCCACATATTTAGGAGAATATTGGGCTTGAGGTTGAAAGCCCATTTGACCAAACTAGTTCGAGTTTATGGGCCCACCCAATAGACGGCCTAAAATCTAATGGGAAGGAAACCCATGTGGTGACACACATCATACATAAGCTTCGTGTGTACTTTGCAAATGATTTTTTTTTTACTTCCATTTACGAGCAGTGTTTTTCAGACACAATTGAAAACAGTAAAGAAATTTAATAATGAAAGTCATAAAAATATTGTGAAATATGAACAGGAGACTCTGGCTGAGGAAGAGACTATGAAATGAGAAGGGAACGCCTCTCTCTCTCTTCAGAATCCAGATCTGCTTTGTAGTTTTATATCACAAGCCAACCCCGCACGTCACGTAAATACACATTAGGGCAATCGCTTCTTTTTGTTCCAAGTAATCTGTTTTTTTCCTTGAATTCGACCGAACCCTTGTTCTGAGATTCCCGAAAGCGTTCGAATTTATGTTCAAAATCCGTACTTTTCCTTGTTGGGAGTAGCTTCTGGACGCTTAGAAGGACAGAGATGGGATCGGCCGCGGTTGCGTACTCTTCTTCTCTACAGACCGATGTGGCGATCTCAGGTGTGTTTCTGTAATCTCCTCCTTTTTTTTTAGATTTTCGGTCCGAGTCTTTCTCGGAATTTAATCGATTTTGATCCCCCCTCGTTCGGGCATGGTTTCCGAGATCGAATCGGTGGGAAGAGGTGGGATTAGAAGGAGAAGCTAGCTTCTGTTTACAAGATCTCTAATATGGCTTCAGATTTGTTTGGTTCCTCTGATATGCGTATGCCTGTGATGTGAATGCGGGTCTTGAGTATTGATACGGAGACACAATTAGAAAGATTGCCTTATGAAGCAAACACATTCACCATAGATTCCATATCCCCAAAATCTGTTGTCTGGAAATTTCGTTCTTTGTCCTTTTTATCACATGGTGGCGGCTAATGCCATATCTGTTGTACTTCCAGCTCTGCGGCAGAAGCATGAACTGGAGCTGGAGAATCTGACACTGACAACACAACCCTTGAACACGTTGAAGTTCTTTGCCCTCGCCATTGTTCAATACATCAGGCGATTGATATCGTATCTTTTGGCCCATGGGGGTTTGTTCATGCTTTTAAGTACTTTGGTAGCTGCATTTGGTGTCTTGCTTGTGATGTTTGATGGACCTCATGGAAAGGTAAAAGTTTGATTCTTCATTGTGTTTCTTATTGTTAAAAGGGTTATGCTATTAACGTGGGAGGATGACATAAAACTCAGACTAGACTTTACCTCACTGAGTTTATTTTTCTTACACCAAACATCATATTTTAAAGATTCATAAAAAGTTTTTTTGTATTTCTTACAGCATGTGGAAGAACTATCTGAGTACATCCGATATGGGTTATGGTGGATAGCACTTGGTGTTGCATCTTCAATTGGACTTGGTTCGTAACTCCCCTTGTTGGAATGAAGTTTGTCAAGGCATTCACTTGCAGAAAGGGGACAAGTTTACTTGCTGGATTAGATATTTTGTTACAATTTCCGCTATTCAGAAGCGTTTAATGTCATTCTTTTTTATCATAGGATCTGGTCTCCACACATTTGTCCTTTATCTGGGTCCCCATATCGCCTTGTTCACCATAAAGGCGACGCAATGTGGCCGAGTTGATCTAAAATCTGCACCATATGATACGATACAGCTGAAGCGAGGTCCTTCATGGCTCGATAAACCTTGTTCTGAATTCGGGCCCTCGTTATTTATATCAGCTCCTGGATCTCGTGTGCCATTGACCAGCATATTGCCACAGGTTCAATTAGAGGCCATTCTATGGGGTCTTGGGACTGCTCTAGGAGAGCTTCCTCCATATTTTATCTCAAGGGCAGGTACCGAATAATATTACTGTTTCTAATATATTTATTTAAAACATTGTTTCGGAAGTTCCAATGGATATGCTCACGAAATAGTATAGGAGAAATACTTCCTTTTGCCTCTTTAACTTGTAGTCCTGTCAGACGAAATGCGTATGGATATTGATAATCCGGGTTTTTACCGGGTATTATTTCTTTCCATTGTCTTCAGCAAGTCTTTCTGGGAGCAGAGTGGATGCAATGGAAGAACTTGATGCTTCCTCAGCTGAGGATAGTGGATTTATGGCTACTTTTCTGAACCGAGTGAAGCGGTGGCTCCTGTCCCACTCGCAACATTTGAATTTCTTTACCATCCTGGTGCTCGCCTCGGTAAGTATACATCTGCAATTTGCTTGTACTTTCCTTATGCATAATAAATGGCTGTGACCATGTTTACACGGTACAAAACGCTCTGCTCTATTTAGAATTTCATGAGCTCTTATAGATTATATCATTATGATGATCAAGTTTCGTATTTCCGCTTCCTGGTCTACTCGTAGGACTGATTCCTGAAAACCTTTCTAACACTTGGGAATTAGGATTATCGAAACTGTTTTCTCAAACAACGTAGACACTCTTGAAATATGTGAGGGAAAGTGATTATCCTTTTGGTGTCATCTGTTGGAGAAATTCACCGACTTTTATTAAGAAAGGAAATGTTGAAGAGCTTCTCACGGAGTAAGAAATTTTAGCATTATTCAATGTCTAGTATTTTCCCTGCTCATGCTCAACGTAACAGCCAGTCTTGGCCTTTAGAAAATCGGAATGTTTCTAAGTAACATGCTCTTAGGTTTTTCGACAATGTAGTGTAGTTAATGAGTAAGTCTTATTATATCTGCATTTGTTACTGAATGAAACACTAAGATTATCTAAAAGCTGCCCGCTGTTTTACGCAATTTTCTGTTTGCACCTTGCTTCCATTAAATGAATGCAGGTCCCCAATCCTCTCTTTGACCTCGCTGGAATAATGTGTGGACAGTTCGGGATTCCGTTCTGGGAATTCTTTCTGGCAACTCTAATCGGGAAGGCGATAATCAAAACTCACATACAGGTGTGTAAACCTCCTATGTTTTTTCTCCTTTTCGATGAATTCTTGACTGAACGGTTTCTGACTCTGGATCTTTGTGTCTTGTTAAGACAATCTTTATCATCTGTGTTTGTAATAATCAACTTCTCGACTGGATGGAGAATGAGCTTATATGGGTACTTAGCCATGTGCCCGGTTTGGCATCTGTGCTGCCAGACCTGACAGCCAAACTTCACAGCATGAAAGCTAAATACCTTGACGCTCCTCCTCCCGTTCCTTCCCATATCAAGGTTGGCAGTCGATAAAAGTTCCAAACTTTTACAGATTTCGAGTCCTTGTCCATGTTCAGTGTGCTGGAAATTTCCAGGCTTTTACAGAATTCAAACCCTTGTACGATCTCATTTCCTCCATGGAAATTTTCCTGTTTGGCAGGTCAAGAAGTGGGATTTCTCGTTCGCGTCAATGTGGAACGGGGTCGTATGGCTCATGCTCCTCAACTTTTTCGTCAAGATCGTGACAGCAACTGGCCAGAGACACCTGAAGACGCAGCAAGAGAAGGAATTGGCGGCTCTGACCCATTCAGATTGAGAAAGAAAAGGTCCGAACCCACTCTTTGGGGTTTGTTCATGCTTTTAAGTAC